CCACACTCTCCCTTGTTACCCACACAGCGCCCTTCACCTCCGAAGTACCACCTTCGCCCTCACCTCCCCTGCACCCTCATGCGGCCCGGCTATGGCCGCCAGTGCTCTGCAAGCAGGCAGCGCCCTACCGCCTAGCCCTGCCCTGCTTCTTCTTAGCGCAGCGCTGCTCTGCATTAGCGCAGCACACTTGCATCTGCGCAGCGTGCCCGCATATGCCAGCATTGGCCAAGATCCCCGCTGCCTCGCCCCGCTTGCCTATATGTCAGTGCAGTGTGTGGGCGGCCTCCCTTCAGCCTGTGACCGGGGCCCAGAGGCTGAAGCCAACTCGATACAGTTGGGCCCCGGGGTAAGGCAGTTGCGCCTCCTTCATCAAGGCCTGCGGCCAGATTCAGACAGTGGGCCGATTTCCCTTTGGCATTTTCGGCCTCTCTTCCCAGCATGCATTGTCGGCCTCACGTTCAGATGCCCAGGACCTAACCAACTCAGAGGCCCTGGGCTTTCAGCATTTGCTGAAATCCGAGACTCGGTGCACTCCAAMCAACTGGCGTGCTGCAACTGTATGAACCCCTACTTCGTGAAATGTTGCACAGAGGGCTCTTGTCGATTTGCTGGCCCGCCTTCACTTAGGGCGGGCACTAGGCTTGCTGGGGCCTTAGCCCAGAACATGTACATCATGGCAAGGCCCCTACTTGAGGGCTCAATCCTCACAGTATGCAACAGAGGCCCACTCGAGGCCCGTTATTTTCCCACTCGGCAAAGGTACTAGTGGTTAAAAAAACAATAATAATAATTAACAAATCAGGGCCCATTATGTTTGGGGGAAGACGGCAGTACCTCTGCATTATGACTTGCTCCAATCAGACCAGAGTGTCTGGAAGGGCCATCCGTGACAACTGGTCAGTATACGTGGCAGAGTTGTTCGTATATCGACAGCTTGCACTCTGGGGTGGGAGAGTGGTAAGCCCAGTCAACATTGCAGCTATGCACTTGGTGGGGACGTGCATCCAGGACGCGAGCCCACAGCAAAGGAAAGAGTTTCCGGAATGCAGCCTATCTGTTGTCCGCTTCCAACCTTGTTGCCCTCTTTTCTTCAATTGTGTAAAGTGGCGTGCAACTCTGGGCCAGTGGATGTGTTACGTACTTCAGAGGTCGTGGAGACGGGTGTGGCATGCTGGACATGTACAGAGGGAGGTGGGAGGGGCTTGAGAAGTAGGATGAATACAAAGAACAACCAACAAACTTTGAGAAGTGGCTTCGAGTATACCTCTTCTCCTCACGCTGAGCTCTGGTCTGAAGACGTTGTATCCTTTCTTTGAGTCGCTCAGGACTGTTCTGAGCTTCCGCATCCATCGCAACCTCTTCTTCATCACAGAACTGGGCTGCCTTAGCTGCTATCTCCTGCCAAATGCCCATGCATCAAAACCCCCCATCTGTGTGGTGAGTCACTCCACATTGATGGTCTCACATGCTATGCGGTATGTGAGCACTAACATAAATACAAAAAACACGTAACGAAAATCAGAACAAAAATAATGGAAAACATACCTGAAGTGAATCAAGGGACACACACTCTCAGCAGGGAACAATGAAGTCACGAGACCACCATCAAAAAGCTTGGAGATGTGACAATAAGTAGACAAACTTCAGACACATTGTTGACGGTGGCGAGAGAGGGCTTGCATTGAAAATTGCGTTCGCTGGGTTTTGGTTAAAAAGAGAAAAAAAAAAAGAAAAAAAAAAAAGAAAGAAAGAAAGAAAAAGAAGTAGATGGCAAGGAGGTGCAAAATTGCAAACACCAATGCAGGAAACAGTTAGCAAATTGTTCTAGTGGGCTTAAAGCCATTACAATTTCTCTTTTCATTTATTTTTACGGAGCTTTAGATGATCGATCTCTCAAAGCCAAAGCAATCTAATAGTGTTTGGCTATTTGGGCATGGTTTATGGTGCGCCGTGTAGCATCCATGTCTGAGAAAGCAGTGCCACAACTTCATTTGCACCATCAGAACTGGTAGACAAAACTGTTACAAGTACTGCTTCTGCTACCATATCTCTACTACTACTACCGTCTTCACCCGAATGTTGTGAAATATGGTCATTATAGCTGCTGTATCTGGGGCAACTTTTAAGTCTACATGCAGCGATAATGCCCGTACATTGTATTCGGGTGAAGACGGTAGTACCAGTAGAAAAAAAATGCTGAGCTAACATTCGTTCGGTAATCATCAACGCAGGTGTTCAAGGCATGCTGGATGTGTGCTCAACATATATTCAATATGTGTTGATTGTTGCATGCTCCAGACAGTGATTGCAGTCATGCTTCCTCTTCTTCTGTTTTACCACTGCTGCTGCTGCTGCTGATCTTACTGCTACTATTACTACTACCTACTCTACTAGCATAAATACTACTACTGTGGTGGGGGTGGTCGCGACCACCACTACAACCACTACTACTACTACTACTACTACTACTACGACTACCACCACCACCACCACCACCACCACTACCACTACCACTACCACTCTACTGCCACTGGCGCTGTCTCTGCCACCATAACCCTACCACTAAGAATAGTAGTAAAATAGTAGCACATTGGGATGACTTAAATTTAATAAACATTAAGGTGGGTGTTTAAAGTGTGCTGGGAGTGTGGTCAATGTGCGTTCAGCCGTTGAATTTCACCATGCATTTGATCAACCCATGTCCCAATCATCATGTCTTGAGCTGCACATGTCCTTGGCAGTGTTGTCTTCTTCTTCTTCTTCTTCTTCTTCTTCTTCTTCTTCTTCTTCTTCTTCTTCTTCTTCGGGTCCTTGAATACAATCATGGCTACTGTTACAAAACCACCACTATTACTACAACGACAGCCGTCATGCCTCTATAGAGACTATACTGATATTTCTCTTGATCTCAGTGGACCATGACCAAAGTGGGAAGTGGAGCAAGCCAACACATCTCTCTCTCTCTCTCTCTCTCTCTCACACACACACACACACACACACACACACACACACA